TAATTGTAATTGTAATTATTAATGCTCGGTATTAGATCATTCCACCCAAAAGTCTCTGTTTCTGATATAATTGTAATTGTAATTATTAATGCTCGGTATTAGATCATTCCACCCAAAAGTCTCTGTTTCTGATAACTCTTCTTCCTGACTATAACTCGATCACTGATTATTATTGCTTAGCTTTTAAGCCCAATTCTTTATTCAATGTAAATTAGGTGAATTATTCAAATACACATAATTTAAGAGGCGCTGACATGGTTTAGTGCGCTTGACTCCAGATCGAGTGGACTAGGTTTGAGCCCTGGCTGGGGACATTGTGTTGTGTTCTTCGGCAAGACACTTTACTCTCACGAGTCTCTCTTCACGCAGGAGAATAAATGGGTACTGGCGAATTCAGTATGCTGGTGGTAACGCTCTGATAGACTCCTAGTCACTTCATGTCATGGAAACTGGATTTCAATGTCGGCATGATGGGCCACCTGGCTCGTAAGCACGCTTTACCTACACACTTTTTAAGTGTGCAAAAAAGAGGGGAACACACAGAGAGGTTGGAATTTACCATGGAATGCACAATAGAACAGTACCTTCTGTAACATTGTCATTAAATTGTTCACCAATTGCTGCCAACAACAGCTCTTTCCACACCTTATCCTGTTGATAAAGTAAAACACACAGGTCATGTTGCATTAACCCCTAAGACAGGGTTCTTGCACTTTTTCAGGAACCAAATTCAAGGACCCTTTGCATTAAATAGGAGCAAGTAGACATGAACAAACATTGTGTGCAGGACTGGCCGAAAAGTCCAATGAGAGTGACTTCAAGCATACACATCAGAGTGATCAAGGCAACCAAGATTATTTCCAATACACCAATCAGGTACAAAATAAATAAGATTCATGTGCCAAACTTCAACTTTGATTCATCTGTTCCTATTTTCAAGTACTTTTCAAAAAATTTCAAGGACCTGAGTCTAAATTAAAGGCTTTTCAAGTCCTTGAAATCAAAAAATTAAATTCAAGGACTTTCGAGGACTTTAAAGGAGTGTGAAAACCCTTCTAAGATTGACTGACTTCTAATTTCTCCATACAGTATCACCCTTAGAGTAAACATAAAGCTCATGAGAATAAAGGAAAGGATCACCAATTTCAGAAGCTCCTAATTGTCCCTCTTGTAATTCTCCTTGTCAGTAACAGAAGTGTAAATAAAACAATGTGGAGAATATGAATATTATGGTTTTGGTGTAAAAGGCTAAACTATGCAGCTTAGTAACCACCCCTTTTTATGGCTCTGGAGGTATCTACAAGCTCTCTGCTGAGGATTTTCTGGGCTTGTGGATCTACCCTTTCCGACATTAAGAGGGCTAACTCTGACACTGCTGACTCGCATCTTCGTGAGATTAAGAAATTGAAGTTTGAAGAACCCCGCCGGTTCAAGAAGAAGGCCAATGAAGATCAGTACAGATTCAACTCGAAACTGACGAACATTCTAGATGAGGCAAAATCTTCGTATTCTACGCAAAACCTGGACACTAAAAAACCCTTTAGACCAAAAATGTCTTAAAATTCCAGGACAAATTCCATTACTTTTTCGAGGACTCTGTTGCCTTCAGTCCGAGGGCCCATTTCACGAAAGTCCTGTTAACTTAACTGACCCAATGCTATATTTTAAATTCAAAATTCAAAGGATAGAAAAGCAGGTTCTAACACCCAGATCAGTCCATTTTGTTTTTTAGCTGATAGTTTTGTTGTACTTGTTTTCAAAACTTTTGAAATCCCCATCTTCAATGAAAACAGAACAGCTTTATAAACCGGTCAGTGACCAGGACCTTCAGAAAAAATTATGGGCCCCAGGAGTTTGTCTCAAACTTATTAACATTAATCATTATTCTGAAAGCAATTAATTAATTGATTTTTTCATTTCTTTCTTTTTTTGGCTGATCTAAAAAGTATTTTTATTCACTCATTCCTTTTAGACAATTTTCCAAAACTTAAACAGAGATCAAATCAAATATCCATGTTTAGAAACAATATCAAAAAATACTATTATAATAATGACTTGTCTGATTTCCCACAATTGTTAAAATGCTTGATATTTTGAGGGCTATGCACTCATAATTATTTGTTTACATGAACAATCTGTGCAACCTACAAGTAAATTGTAATTTATTAAATTAAATTAAGGTCATTGCAGCCTCCCTATTTTAACAACCTTGTTAATTTTCTAGTGGCCTTCTCTCCCCATTGTTCACAAAAGTGCATGTTTTGTGAGTATTCCATGTATGATTCAGTTTACAATATAGAAAGTGTAAATCTATACCGAAAACCTAACTGTATTTGCCTTGTACATGTACAATATCATTTGTTATTTCAAGGACTTACAGTGTTATGTTTGATGCAACGCATTTTCCAATATCCACCATTAACGTTCTGTTTGTCTTCCCTAGTCAGAAGAAAGCATATAAAATAGAATCACAACTAACATAACATAACATAACATGACATCAACTTTATTTCAACGCGATAAGTGTTTAAAGCTCCACACTTATGGGGTCGTGCATTGAAACTAGTCCTAAAACCAAGATCTATTACTAACTTACATACAAAACAAAAGTAAGATAATTTACTAATAATTAATAATGATAAAAATTTGTACAATATATGTGATATAATACGCATAAGATGTCATTAAAAATAAATGTAGTCTTGATCACAAAAATTAATGTTGAGACAGATGTTACCTTAAAGTGAAAATCTTTAAATTCAGCAATCTTACTTAATCTTGAATCTATGCTCTTTCGATGGTGTAACATGAACAACTCAAATTTGAGAAAAAATCAACTATAGTCAATTGCTAAATGACCATCAAAACAGCTCTCAGATTCATGGACAAAGAAAAATTCAAATTGCTGAAGCTACTGGTAATTTAAACAGATGACAAAGAAAACTGCAAAATGCAGAATTTAATAAAACTGATTTTAATTAATTTATTTTAAAAGTCAGTAAGGCACCAATGGGTTACTAATTTTATCCTATGACCCGTATGCCTATATGGTCCTTAATGGCTTATACTATTTTCCGAAACGAAACGAACCGAAATGAAATTGTACTATCACTTTTCTCCCGCTCAGTGGATTTGGAATCAAGTTCCTTCAAAAGCGCTTATTAATTCTTTTTGCAAGCGCAGTTGGGTGTGTCAATATTTTACGAGTAGTTAACCGACAGTGATACATGTAGCAATAGAAAGGCTCGCTGTGGTTTCTATACATTTGACTCGTGATCATGTCTTCGTTTCAAATGTGAAGTATATGCAGAGTCGGTGTTGAGGTGTGGCACAAAATTACTTCGCTATAGATTCTTTGCAGATACGGAGCAACCTTCAATGATAAAAATGTATGATGTAGCCTTATTGTATTGTATTGTATTGTATTGTAATCTTTATTTAGACACGATCAATTCATCAGCCTATAAAAATACATATCACATACGCTAAGATATTTCAAATTAAAACTACATACTCTTAACACTAAAGCTGTTTTCCGTGAATGCCGTGCGTTAGACTTTAAAAATGTCATTGATCTTACGTTTAAATAACCCCAGAGACTCTGTGTTCCTTATATCCCGTGGTAAACTGTTCCATAATGTGGCGCCATTGTAGCTAAAGCAACACTGCTGATCCAAACTACGCGTTTTTTTTTTTTTTTCCTTGACCTGGCCCATCACTCCAACATCTAATGTCTACTTTTCTTCTTTATTGTTCTTCAGTATTCAGACAAGTGTATCAGATGCGTATTAATTCTTGCTTCCTTCTACAACATGCCATACATCAACAGAACCCAGAACCTAGTACAAATATTTCACCTGATCCACAATGCAAAAATGTGATCACTAATTTTGTCTGAAAAAATCTATGATCTGAGAGCTTTTCAGGGCCTTTATTTTAAACACACTTGTCTAAAGATCTATGTACCCCCTCCCTTAAATTTATGAAAGATGCATACCATAGTGGCTTCCTCTCTCCTCTCATAAAATGATAGCTTGTTCTAACGTCAAGTTGTGAAGGCGAAGGTATATTGTTGAAGACACTCCAAAAACTCTAAGAATTCAAAAATGAGTGAAATATGTCAAATTATTAATATTGTAATTAACAGTTGAATGAGGTACAGTTGTGCATGCATGTACAGGCATGTATTATGATGAAAGACGAAAGGAACCATAAAAGATTGTTACAATTGTATAAAACTTTCTATTAGTATTTACGAAGAATCTTTTCACAACTCTCACTTCACAAGGATCGAATTATTTGTATACTTTTAATTAAGAAAACCATTATGAAATGTAAAATACATTTGCAAACACAAATATATTGCGAGCAAAATTTTGAAAGCAACGAATAATTTTTGGAAGACATTTTCGCTAATAAAGAGTCCCTTCTGAGGTCTGATCTACTAAATAACGTCATTTCCTATTCATATCAACCAAGCTCATAATTTATTCACTCCCCTTGTCAAAGTCTAGACTCTGGAAATCGAAATAAATTTTCGGGTAAATGAGTACACGCACAACTTCCTACTAAAAAAATCAAATACAGCATTACAAAACCACAAAAATACTTATGCTTTGGTAACGTTCAAAGATTAGGAGAGGAATACGCAATTCTCTGGGGAACGACTATTTTATATTTGACAGCTCGAATTACTCTGACCTTCGATTTTTCGTGGATAACATGAACTTTGTCAGTTGATTTTAACCTGAAAAACGTACATACCTGGATTGTGTGGACAGTATACACCTTTCGGAGATTTGCTGCGTATTCTGCCGCTGTCGCCCCGCGAACATATCTAGAAACAAACAATGGTTACTTCGCAAGCATCCGAAAACAAAAATATTGAAGAGAAATGATTTATTCTCACTTATCATGCCAGAGAGTCCACGCTGTATTTAATGGAATTCCACTCTTTTCAGAGCTTTCTAATTCATTCAACGATCGCCTTGAAAGATGAGGTGAATTTGTGTTGGCTTCTACGCCATCATTCTCCATCTTGGGAGAGAGATCGGGTAAAAAAACATTTGATATGACAGGAGAAGCCCTTTGTTCGACCGCCATTACTACAGCGATGATCTTGGAATCACAACAAATACGTCATGAATTTTCCAAAATATTACCTGCAGGGGTCCGGCTGGTGATGTTTCGATTTCAAGGGTGTTTTTTTTCTTTAAATCGGTTTTTTTCTCATTAAAATAGAATATGAACTTACTCAATTGTGAAATGGACTTGCTGAAAGTACCGAAATAAATTTTTAGCAGAATATTTTCATCGAGCAAGGAAATGTGTAATTAAATGACTTCCTTTCTTCCGTAGTTTAGTTTCAATTCTCCCATGAACTCTATACTAAGGCCAGGGTACCAAGCTACGGCCGAATCCAACATGGCGTCTTTAGCCGAGCAACTGCGTGCTTTATCGAATCCAGAACCAAGTCGTATTGATTTGGATGAAGACGAATTTGATGTGACGAGAGCACAAACAATCAAAAATGCGAACGATGGCGAAGACTTTGAAGATCAAGGAACCTCAGTCGCCAGTAATTTACGTAAGAAAACAGCCATTTTGTTCCAAGATGTCGACAAGAAGTATGCCGGGCATAAGATTTCACGGGCTCAACTTGAAGCCTCCCGGGAACACGTCTCTGGTTCAGGCGAAGAGGAGGAAGATAACGAAGAAGAGGAATCTGAAAGTGATTCTGGAGGTACCAAAAAAACTCCCTATGGAAGCCAATTAGTTATGAAAGTTTAAGACCAGGTGGTCTCGTGCTATGTTAGCTTAAATGAGCACGTGCATGCATAACTCCGTGCTTGATGATCACGTTAGGTCCACCTTTGCGTTAAATGAGAAGAAAGAATATACATAAGGTAAATTCGTAGTGTAGCCAATAACTCTGAGACAGTAACTCGCTAAGCAGCAGGCGAAACACTCTGGTATACGTATGCACATAAGGCTCTCCAATGGTTTGATTGGGGTTATTAGGCCAGTAAATGGGTAGAAAGTGTAGTCTGATAGGGTAAAAAGTGCCTTAAACGCAAAGGCTTATCCTTTAACATTTACAAGGTTTCTTTTTTCAAATATAATTTCCTTGCTGATGATTAGATGATTTAAACGGAGTTGAAATACCAGAAGATGAAGATTATCTTGACAGTAAGGAAGACAATACGGAAGGAAGTGTAGATGAAGTGGAACGTGTTACTTTTTCCGATGATAATGATGATGAGGATATTGATAATGATGGGGAAGACAGTCTACATTCAGGAACTGACAATGAAAGTGACGAAGAATTTGCTGGGTCTGGCGATGATTCAGACATAAACGGAGATGGTGGTAAAAGTGATAATGATATTGAACAAGATGAAGATGACATGGGTAATAATACCATTCAACAGTTTTCTTCAACAAGTCTGAAGGAAGACATTGAGAAAGGAACAGCTGCAAAGCATCAGCTTAGTAAGTCACAAAATTGTTAATGAAACTGACTGGTTTGGAATCCAACAGATTTACTTTACTTTACTTTAATCATTTTCTCAACAAACTTAACACATATACAAAGCTGAGGGGAAGGCCAAGAAAACAGGAAAGGGTTCCCTTACAAAAGGCCACCCAAAAAAGAAAAACACTACACATACCTATATATATTTTTAATAATATAATAATAATAATAATAATAATTTGTTTCGTTATAGGGTTTAATGATAATTTTTTTAGACCTCAGAGTGCATGATATTTAATGGTGTTCCACTCTTATTGAGCTACTTGTAAATTCCCAAAAGAAACTCAATCCTAATTGATTTATTCAATCCCAAGTTTGAACACACAGTTACAGCTGCAATGGATTGTGTATTGTCAGGAAATTTCCAGTATATACTGCAGAATTGTTGTTTTCTCTACCTTTCCTTATAAATCAAGTCTATTACCAACAGTACAGCCTATTAGCTATATTTAACATGAAGAGTTAAATCATAAGCACATGTATGCATGTTTATTCAGCATAGATTTCCTCCAGATGAATATTGTGCTCTTCTTGACCTTGAGTATGAATAAAGGCTGATAGTTTCTAAAGAAACAGTACTGTTTGGGGCTGCGTCGGTCGGGGTAACGAAATAATTTGAATATATCAACAAAGTTGAAATGGTAAATTGGCCGCTGTTACGATTATAAAAGCTGACGTTTCGAGCGTTAGCCCTTCGTCGGAGCGAAACGAAGGGCTCGACGAAGGGCTAACGCCTGATGAAGGGCTAACGCCTGATGAAGGGCTAACGGTCGACGAAGGGCTAACGCTCAACAAAGGGCTAACACTCCAATGTAGGGTTAATGCTCGAAACGTCAGCTTTTATAATCGTAACGGTGGCCAATTTACCATTTCAACTTTGTTGATATATTCAAATTACTTGAGTATGACTGTTGCTTAGGTTGTGCAAATTGATGACTTTGGCTACAAATTTAATCTGCAAAACATGTTTCTTCTCACCATGTTGACATTAAAACAGTTCCATACATTAGTCACGTTTGTATCAAGTGGATTCACCCTGGTAGCATAGATATGGGGAGCAGGGATGGCGCAGTGGTGAGAGCACTCGCCTCCCACCACTGTGGCCCGGGTTCGATTCCCGGACCTGGCGTCTCATGTGGGTTGAGTTTGTTGTTGGTTCTCCTCCTTGCTCCGAGGGTTTTTCTCCGGGTCCTCCGGTTTTCCTCCCTCCGCAAAAACCAACATTCTAAATTCCAATTCGATCTGGAGCAGTGGACAAGAATAGCCACCCAGTGGATGTCCATTGTTAAATCATTATTTATTATTTATTTATTTATATGCTCAGACTTAAATCCATTATTTTCTCTCTCTGACTTTTCTCATATTTTTTTTTTTAAATAGGTGTTAAATTTTTTGGCAAAGTTATCTCATGCTTTTTTCCTAGGTTTGTGGGATAGTTTCCTTGAGATGCGTATTCGATTACAGAAGGCCCTTTTGATTGGCAACAGACTCCCACAGCTTGACCAGCATGCATCCTTAAATTTCTCTGGAGACAAGAACCTTAAAGACACATACAAAGAAGGTAAAAGAAAACTGTTCTGTTTTCTTATTACTTCTGTACTCCTCTCTTATACCTTGATCCCTTTTGCTACCACTGCTGAGTTTTGTAAAAAATTGAATAGTTAGGCTGGCATATATTGTAACTATTGTCACTATATTCATCGACTGGCTCATTTTGGGGACAGTCACTCTTCCATTGCTTTCTGTATTCTGTCCTTATTCAATGACCAGCTACTCTGTATCTTACTTTAAATGCAACTATAAGCATTTTCCAAGACAGAAATTCTCCTTTTAATATTAATACAATATCAAGCAGAAAAGTTACAATAATAAAGGAAAATATCAATTAGGGGATTTTTAGTTGATCTAATACCAAATTCTCCAAGGTAATATCAAAGAATTTTATGACAGGCAGTAAGGAGAATTATTAACAAGATATTGAGTGTGAAAGGGTAAACCTTCCACGATCATCTTACTTGGAATCAGTTCTTTTACATCAATCTGCAGTTGGTACATGTACAGGTACTGTTCTTGTTGTTCTTACTAATAATTAGTGCACCACAGGAGCCTTATAATAAACTACCTGACATCTAACAGGGTACATTTATTTACAGGGAGAAAATCAGTGGCAAAACTTCTTGGAAATCTTCTGTGGATACAAGAAAAGCTACTGGACCAAAATCCAGACACAAAGGACATCTTATACCCAGGAAAGGAGTTGAGCAAAAGCACTGGTCAAGGTAGTGATGTGGATGAAGAAATACCCAGTGATACAGAAGATGAAAAGAGTAATAATGATGATGAGGAGGGTGATAATTTTACCAATAAGGATCAAATAAATGGTAAACAGGCAGAGGGTAGCTTGAAGCTTCCAGCAAAAAGGAAACACGAGTTGGTAAGGTTACTATTAATGGCATTTTATTCACTTACCAGGCACACCATTTTTTAGGAGAAAATAATTATGCTTGTTCAATCAAAATCTGCTCATTAATACCGGTAAATGAATAAACAACAGACAAACATTGTTGATCATTGACTTTACCTGATTTGGTGGTTCTAAGTAGAACCGGGGTGGCTCTGAAAAGAACCTTTTGTTTGAAAGCTAGGCTGAGCTCAGCTACTCATCGTCCTCGGCTTTGCTGTCTGTCTCGAACTCATTGTCAATTGGCTCTTCTGCTTCTTCTGCTTCTTCTTCCTCGTCGTCCCAAACTGCATAATCTTCAGTTCCATAAAGAGCATTGTTGATGCTATAGGACTTTAACAATCTCATAATCAAATCAACTGGGATTTCGCTACATGCTCGATCTTTCCATGGCAACACCATCTCTTCACTGGGCGCTCGCTTCTTTCCAGAAGGAGTGTAGGTAAACGGGCTGTTAACCATCCAGGCTTCGTGCTGTAACTTCATACCGTAATTAGTAACTTTTGAAAGGAAATTGTTGTAAGTACAGCTTATGTGGTCAACAAAATTTTTCGAAATTCTTGGTGCATCTTATAACAAGATATTTAGGTGAAATAATTTTCATTTTGCTTACTTGTTACAATCATCTTCGAAAGTTTAGGGTACATCTTATAACTGAGTGCCCCTTATAAGTGAAAAAATATGGTATTTTTGATGCATGTGTACTAAGTACACCACCTACATATGCATCAATCACAAAGCTGTGCACCTTTATTTTTAGCCATCATATGGAAGACTTCAACAGGAACTTTGTACACAGTCATGTACCCCTTGCAGCTTAATGTTACAAGGAAAATAAAACATGCAGACATTATCAGAAAAGCTAGGTGAAAAAAGAAGTAATGCTCATACTGTTGTCTGCTGAATGCTGTATAGAATACCGGTTGCTATTGTCTTGCATCGTACATTTAAGCTTTATTTCACTCTCTTATAGTAAGGAAATGGAATTATATCTTAAATAGTTTTTCTTCTTTGGCATTTCAATTTCAGTGTGTTAGAAAGTGATTTTGGATACATTGAGAGCACAATTTACATATACGTATAGATTTTGATGCTTGTAGTTTTAAACAATATCCAGGTTAAAATGATTTCAAACTAGTTTGATTTCTACATGATATTTTCATAGTGTAAGGATTACAGTTGCATACAAGGCTCCTGAAATCATGGGAAAAACAAATGAAACTACAGTTTTAAGACTCATTTTTGCCTGAATCTGTTTTTTTATTTCGATAAAAATTACAGCAATTACAAAAAGGTAGACTGAAGTAGAAATGTCAGTTTGCCTTGGCTGAAGTGCCATTTTTTAAAGCCCCTTGTGTATTGGTCCAAGAGCTTTACAAATAAAACTGCCCTATACATGTAGCTTTTCTGTTAAATTTTTTCCCAAATTTGTTTTAAGATCTAGGTGCCCAATTTGTTTTCCTTGCTTTCCTAGGCAACATCAGAATATGCAGAATGTATTTCCAAGCGGCATGCAGCCTTTAAGGGTTTCAGAGATGCTACAATATCAAAATGGAGTGAGAAAACACGATTGGCATCTGGAAAAATTAACAGCAAGGTACCTATATTTTCACCACAGTTACAATAATTATTATTTGATTTACATGTGTGATAACGTTATGTTTTAGTTTGACGAAAGAGTACTTTATTCAGGGTATAGCTCTTTGTTGTATTTTTTTTTCTTTTAATATTTTATAACCCATTTGCAAAGTCGGTAGAATGCCAGTCAGTGAAATAAGTTTGTTCACTTTTTATTCATTACACGTATATTTTGTATGAACATTTTGTAACTAATTATATTTATGTTACCTTTCTTCAGACTTTTGGTTCTTTTGACCGGTCAGCAGTAGCTCAAATAAATCATGTAAGTTATTGTAGAATAAGATGAGAATTAAAGTACATGTTTTTTACTTCTGTAACATTAGGTATGATGCACGATCCTCGCAGTAGAGAACATTGTTCACAGTGTTAGCCCAGCTCATTGAAAATTATTTAAACCAATACAGTTGCCTTTTTTGTTTTAATTTCAGATTTTATCTGATAAAAGCCGTCTTGTAAAACGAACCCAACTCAAAAGGACCCCATACAGAGTATTGGGAAAGTCTGAAAAAGAGGAAATCCAAGATATGGACTCCAACAAGGTTTGGTTGTTATGGATACTGAAGTCTGTTTTTTATCAACAGATGCACTTGAGCAGGTGTCCATCAATCATAGGAACGTTTTAAAGAAAAACAAAGCTGATGATTGTATTTGTTGTGTGATGCTGCTTGCAGGAACAGTCTGACTTCCATTTAAAAGACTACGATGAGGAAATATTTGACGATGATGATTTTTACCATCAGGTAACTAAACCTTCCCTTGTCTTGGCTGTATCTAGAACTTTATTGCAAGACAACTTTCATAGTAATTCCTACTCCTTTAGCTTCAATTAAGAGGAAATAATTATCTACAAATAGTAACTGAACCATGCGATGAAATAAACATTTTTCCTCACAAATAATATGATTGGCTTTTTCCGTTCTTTCTTGCCTCATTTTTCTTCGTATTTTTCTCGTTCACTATTTGTTCGCAGTGCTGTTGTGTAGTAACATATTTTGTTTCTTTCTTAATTAACAGCTTTTAAGGGAATTTATAGAGCAACGAACCGGTGGAAACACTGATAATCCCATTGAGATGGGAAGGTAAGAACAACAGTGAACTACTAATTGACACTTACTTTTTTTCAAAATCGCCACCTCAGGTAATATTGATCGCCATTTTCATACTCGTCCTATACCATTGATTAACTTATTCCTTTTTTATTCTTTTTTTTTTTTATTCTTTTTTTTAAGTAAAGAAATAACAAATCGTCAAAACGCGGTGTAATTTCTTGCTGGAAACCACACGTGATCTTACTTTTTCTTTGGAACAGAATTAATTTCTCAAGCGTGCGTCGAAACCTTTGACAATGAGCTAAAAGATGGTCACCTGCTGTCGGCTTCTCATGATATTGTAGCATCCTTCTTGTATGCTAAATGTTCAGTCGCATTGGTCAACAGCCAATCGCAATTTCTTATCTTATATATTCGACCTGTTCTCGGGTCTGACACGGTAACTGCAGACTTCGTTTCAAACAAAAATTTCTCAATGTTAACGGTGATGCTCTTTCCTTTCAGACAGTGGCTAGCGCTTCAAAAACTAAGAAGAAAAGTGAAAAAGAAAGTAGATACGAAGGCCAGTAAAGGCAGAAAAATTCGGTGAGTCCTAACTCTAGAACCGCGAAGACTAACATGCCTAAAGTTTCTCTTTTTAAGTATCACCTCATTTTTCAAACGAATGTTATCGAAAGTGGTCGGGCTTTTCTGTGGTTTTACTCATCACCATTGCGCTCTGTGATTGCTTGTAAAAACTCGCGCCGGTTTTAAGCGATCGCGCACCCGCGTTTTCCCGCGCGCGGGCACTCATTTTGGCGGCAAATTTTCATTGGTTCTTTCTTATAAATTATTTCCCTTTCTTCTGATTGGCCCTTTTCATTTCGTTTGGCCTTTTGACATTCAGTCAAAAAGCGCACTAACTGCGACAATTTTCGACCGATTATCTAGTCTAATAATGGACGTAATCATCTTCTTCCTTGTTGCACACAGATATGATGTTCACGGAAAACTTGTAAGCTTCATGGCTCCTATAGAGAAAGGCACCATGGCGGACTCTTCAAGGTTTGTATAAAGATGAATTTTCTTTGGTTTTACTTGTTCATTTTCTGGATTGTTTGTCTCTCTTTTCTCATGCTTCCATTTCTGGCAACCGCTTGATTATCCTGCTCATATATCAGCTCCTTTTTATTTCACAAACAATCGTGTTCCTTTACCTTTCTCTACAGGAATGAATTATTTTGTTCTCTGTTTGGAGCAAAACAACAGGACAAGCCAGCAGATATTAACGTTTTCAGATGAAAACAACTCTGTGATATCAATTAGCTCAGTTATCGAATCAAGATGTTCGTGAGATGTCGTAAATGCAAATAATATAGTCTTCACGAGACATGTAGCATATGGCCTCATGTGAATTTTGCATTAATAACATTCTACGAAGCCGTGTTTCGAGGATTATATAGGTAATCGCACGGGGCCTCGTAAAATTAAGGATTAATATCACACGTGTTTTCGGAAGTTGCTGAAATTGCCCGAGTCGCACGGCGACAGGGGCAATTTCTGCAACTTCCGAAAAAACAAGTGATATTAATCCTTAATTTTACGAGGAACCATGTGATTACTTTTTTATAATATAAGGGGCAAAAAGTTTTCTAACTGATCTCGCGCAAAACGGGACGCCATTGTTACAAAACAAACAGAATTTTTTTACCTTGGCAGCTGTTGCCAAGCGATTTTCAGCCAATCATTTTCAAGTAATTTTTCCCGGGGCAATTACAAAAATTAAGAAAAAATGCCCTCTGTCTTGACCAATCACAATTCAGTAATTTTGCCCCTTATATGATAAAGGCAGCATATTAATATGATGAACAAGATGGTTAAAATAAAGCCGCATCATAAAAGCCCTCAGTTACATCATGTTTAACAAAAGAAGATATCTCTTGGCCTGCTTATTCCACTTAAGACCAAAAGAGTACCTTATGGGCATGTACAACGAGAAGTGTGTAAGGAGGACACTCACCAAATCTTCACGTGTCCCTCTCTTGCTCGCACATACGCAAGTCCCATGCCCCCTCTTCTAAAGAATAGGGAGCTTTCGCGACGGCAACGAGAACGGCAGAAAACAATAGGCTTAATGAGCAAAAATAATCGCCCTGCACGTGCGTTTAACATTTTGGTACATTTCTTTGCCGTTCTCAGCAAAACAACAACGTGAAATAACCAAACTTAAGTTTTCTCGAGAACGTGAGCGCATGACGGTTAATTTTTCTTTCTTTCTCCTTACTTTAACGCCGTTCGTAGTGATATAGTCCCTGAATAGTTCACCACCATTTTCCAAGTGAAACACATCGGAATAACCTCGAAATAGTTACAAAAAGGAAAAGTTAGATTTCGACACGACGTTTTCGTTGCCGTCGTCGTTGCTCAAGCTCCCAAGTGACTGCTCACTCATGGTCGTGTAAGTAACGTCGTGTATGCATCGAAATAGGCATCATTTTTGCAAGAAGTAGTCCGAATTTATAACTGGTTTCATTGAAATAACTGTTAACGCATATCAGTTAGGCCTCTCTGAATAATCTATTCAATTCATTATGTGCGGAGAAATAATTAAGCTGATCACTCGTACAAGAAACAAGACCCGAAAAACATGACTTCTTTTACGTGTTATTGACTTTGGTGATAATGCAAATGAACCCATGGCTGTTTTGAATAAATTGGAAAATTTTCCTGTTTGGAACGCGACTTTTGAAAAAAGCCAAGGTCAATTATTTTGACAACTAACTTGAAATAGCTTATCAAGTTTTACATATTTTTCCGCTTGTGTTGCAGTAATACACCCAACGATGTGTCCATGTGTCTTTTTTGTGACCGAAGAGTTCCGTTTCTTTGCTGTTAAATCAGAAATAGCGATTGTTTTGGCGAATGACAAAGGGAACAATCAAACTTTTGACATCAGCTCAAGTTTCAGCCGATTTTTTCGCGTAGTTAAAGTATATTTGTATTGACCGTTATACGTAAACTCAACGTTTCCCATAAAAATCTTAAAAACAAGCTTTAATTAAACACTGCAATATTATTTGGAAAGCAGTAATATTTTTAATGTGAGTCGAGGTGGCGGCTTTTTTAAATAAATCTGGGCATCTTGTGCCAGACTAAAATTTCTAGAACGGAGCTTTCACACGGTCAGACTGCTCTCAGTATTGATTCAATAACCTCTTTGTAATTATTCTAGACCTTATTAATTAGACCTGTATCTAGTAGAGAGCCAAGTGTAAGTAAACATTTGCTCATTTCCAATATTGTTATTATACTTTTCCATTCCAAAAAATAGCACGAGTGTGGTGGACTGAAAACGAAATATTTCCAAAGGCATTCGAAAAATTCTGCCATGGTAAGCCGCTTACTTTGTTGGGTCACAGAATTAGTCGCGTGAATGTTAAAAATTCGAATCGCTCCTGTCGATCCAGAAAAAAGTGACACAAAAAAAAATTATACTTCTGTCAACGTCTGGATAGGAGAAAAATAATAAATGACAATACTAATACTTAGAGAGAAAAGGAAGAAAATTGAGATATCATCATTGCTGATAAAAGGTCGAGGACACGATTTTAATCATCTCAGTTTGCTAGATTGCTCAAGACTTTAGTTTGCTCGGTCGGTTTTGGATATTTCCATATTGGCTTAGAAAACCTAACTTGTCAATATCTCCCGGGTATGTTTATTTTAATCTTTTGTGACAATACTTCTATGGGCAACTGTACACAAGCTATATAAACATACAGATTATGACCGCTAAGTGTGGGAGTTATTATGTTCTGTGAACCATAAAATGCGTTGAATGATGAACTATTTTGAAATGCGCTTTGCATAAGAGCAAAAAAACCATAATAATATAAAACGCAGTGTTCTTTTGTAAGAATTGTACGAGCTGACTTATCGAAAAGACTTCATATGATGAAAGACAATATACAGCGTCGCTTTAATTCCCATGTTAAGGTGCATTGTTATGTTGATGAGAAGTATTTACATCAGAGAACGTGACAATAATAAGAACAGGTGAGACATGAAATCGCATTATAATCTATTCACTTCGATCGGTTACAGGCCCAGACCATGGTGTACACAGTAACTGAACCTTAGCATAATTTAGCGCTCTGTTAATTTTCCGTGCGGATGTCGTATTGACGACGCAAGTGGTTTGATAACCACAACACAAAAACCCAAGATATTAGTATCAAGAAGCTATATCGAAGGTAGCGCTCAGTCTGGGTAAATAACAGCGCACAAAAGTTTTAAGATTTATTTTCATGCCGAAACACTATGAGCAGTGTGGAAAATCTTGTGATGGAATCGATGCAGATAAGATACACACGTTCGACCCGAGCATGGAGGATTTTTGCGGTGGTAGCGTGTATTATGGCAGTCGTCATGACGGCCTTGTTCCTTTGGCAGGTCTTGAAAAATGATGAAGAATGTGGAAAGTGTGGAAATGGTTATAAAGAAGCTCCTTCGGAGAGCAGCAAACCGGATACGTATGGTGCAGCATGCCCTCGAACGCCAGTTAAGCTAATGCCCTTATCTAAGAAACTACCGGAACAGCTTTCTAAGGGTTTGAATAAAATCACTGATTACATCAGCTCCCGCGTTAACACGAAAGCACAGCTTCCTGCAATATCGGCCAATATCTTCTACCAGGATCGTACTCTGTGGAGTCTTCATAAAGGAAGTAAGGTCGCAAAACGCGAAGATATACCTGACGATCAAACAATTTACCGAATTGGTAGCGTCACGAAAGTGTTCGTAGTCCTTATGGTATACAAGTTTTACGAAGAAGGTCTGATAGATTCCCTTGACGATCCGTTAAGCAAATACGCTCCTGAATTTTACATTCAAAACCCTTTCAATGGAGAAAACGTGACGATAAGACAGATAACAAGTCAAATGGCGGGGTTACCTCGAGAGGCACCATGTTTCTTTATATGCCGTAATGATACTTCAGAAGAGCAGTTACAACTTCTTAAGAACCGCAGTCTCATCTTGCCCCCAGGAACCATGCCGTCTTACAGCAACCTTGGATACGCCTTGCTAGGGAGACTGCTGTCCGAGAAACTTCTAAAGAATCAAACCTTTCAGACTTGGGTGAAAGAGAGCATTCTAGAACCTTTAAATATGACACGCACCGGATTTGAGATCACAGCGAACGTGCAGGAAAACATGGCATTTCCTTATTCTAAAAACGGAACAAAAATGGCTTTCATGAATATCTATTGGGTTGCACCTGCTGGCCAAATGTATTCAACACTCGAGGACATGACGAAGCTCGGCATGATGCTTACACAACCGTCAAAACAAACCTTATTCCGTCCGGCATCGCTCTGGGAAATGATATCCCCCGCGGATATTGCTCCGGACGGGACCACTATATGGGGGGCTCCATGGGAGATGGAACTCCAGGAACACTTTGTAGTTCGGCGAAAGGGTGGAGCGATTGACTCGTACGAAGCATACCTCTCGGTCGTTCCTGAGTTGCAGCTGGGTATAAATCTGTTCATAAGCGCAATTCATTTTATCCAAGGAGGAGAATCTAGTCGAATGATTCACGACATTTATAAAATTCTTCTTCCAATCATGAACCAAACTGTAGTCGAACTGGAGAGATCATCAAAATTTCCAGTGGATCCGAAGCCTTACATTGGAAACTATTCCGTAAACATTTCAGATTTGTTATCAAACAAGGTTACCACGCACTTAGTGGAGGTTACAGTTCAACATGACATACTTCAAGTGCACTTCATCAATTCTAAAGAGCAGAACTTTCAAATTGTATACATTGGAACAGAATTGGTGTTTCAAGCAGACTTTAAATGGCCTTCTTCTTCGTGTTTTTACGAACGAATGGGTAGTTATCAGGATTTACACTTTTTACCTTTCGACCAGAATGGTGTTTCGCCCGGATTCACAGTCCCTGGGCGCGCAATGATAGCAACTCGCAGTTCATAAATTCTTAGCAAAGAGACCGCTAGTTATCAAGGAAAAATTTAATTTTTTTTTTCGAGCCCGTCATTTTAGTCCGGTCTTAACTTCGTCATCCTGAGCCATTTTTATCCCCGTTTGTTTTATTATAACTCCTATTGTGTTTCTCTGTTTTTCGGGGGAAATATATTGGGTTCTCCTTCGAGTGAGGATTTTTCGAAGCGCAAATATTAGTTGTGCCTTCGATGATTGAAGTCTACCCTGGTAGATGTGTGTTACCTCATTTTATCATTACTAATATTTCTATTATCATAATTATTATTATTATCATTTAATAATTTCGATCATTGAACATGATAACTAAGATCGAAAATATGGAAATACAAAATTTGTAAACAATATTTACATTAATCAACCACTTAGTTGTGTCAGTATGCGAAAAACGTCCTATGTTTACATTATCGCATAACACTTTCAATTCTAGATTGTTCTCTCCACTTTACCTCGAAAGTGCGAAGATTGACAACTTATTAAAGGATTGTAAATAACTTGAAACGCTGTTGATTTATTATAGATATGCTCAAGCAGTTGAGCAATGGTTCTCTCGAGAACGTTCACATCTTGACCCTTTGAGGGGTTTTTTCGCTGTCGTAAAAAAAAAGGAGGACAGAACGAGAGAATTGCATGGCTTGTGTCTCGATCGCGCAAGTCCATCGTTAACTGCAATTTCGGATGGATTTTCTTCAAACATTACTGTCATGATGGTGGCATGGCCGTCCTCTAAAACTCGGTGAAACATATCCAGCAATGAATTAAGTTAAAAGAACGGGTTTTGGCGATGGTTGATGCACTTTCTTATCCTTCAAACCTGCTTTCATCGGTGTTTTCGACCATTCAAGCGAAACGTAGATCGAATATACTTTGTTGTAATGTCACAAACTGTTTGTCAATACTGGGAGCCTAGCTTGTAGGAAAGGATACTAAAACAAAGGATTTTATTTGAAATTGTGATTGTTACTTGGTCGTGACGAAAGCGTTACGAATCTTTGATAACTTCCGTCACGAATTAGAATTCATGGCAGTAACACTCTCATTTTCTCAATCAAACTGGCTGGATGTAGTTTTCTTAAACAGCGACTCGTTATATCCAGAGCGCCATAAAAATACCCTTCCCACTGAACGTTGTGTCGGACGATTTCCACACGTGTTGACCAAAGAATTAAAGATTGACATCATGGTATAGTATGCAAATCTGCGTTAATATGCAATGGCTTAGCTCTCAAAAATACACAATTTCGGCACGGAAATCGGAAAAAGAAATGAGAAGAAGTATCGAGAGATGAATTGGAAATGGAGAATCGGAAAAAGAGAATCGGAAATGATGAATCGAAAATGGAGGATCGGAAATAGAAAATCGGAAATAAAAAATCGGAAATCGGGAATTGGAGTAGAAGAATCAAAAACAAAAGGTCATCTCTTATAATCTCTTAAAGTTTCGTTTAGTACAATATAATAATATATTCTAATTTTGATAAAGACATCATTAGCCCTTAATATAACAGTTTACTATGATTATGTCTCATTGATCGTATGAATAACTATCAAAAAAGGAGTATTTTTTCATTTCTTCGTAAACGCGGTTCTTTTGTTCAGCGGTCCATTCAATAAAGTCACGTGTCATTGATGGAACTGGATCTACAGTGGCTGCACAGTCCTCTATATAACGCTCTGAGCAAGTGATGCCCAGGAATTTGCAGATATTTCTTAGAGTGTCTGCAGGATTCTTGACAATTTCCAGACTTGGAATATCGATAACACTAGCTGGAAACGCTTGCCTGGCTTTGTTACAACCTGCTGCCCAGCCAAAATAACGATTTATACTCTCGTCCAGTATAGAAGGAGCTCCAACCTGTGGATAACGGATAGAGATACAACGTGTAAAATAGCAGTTCATGGCTAAAATAGGGCTATCATGGTTGGGGACCGTTTTCCAAGTTTATGACATCCATTTTCAATTCACGGTTGATCCTTGAGATGTGATTGGTTCTCAGAAATGCACTTTATTCTTAAGCCATCAAGTTACTTAAACTGCTCTAAATCCCAACTTTATCCCAACCAGTGAGAAAGCAACAATAAAACAACCAATTGAATTTTAAGGCTTGTCTGAAGTAAACTGCCTGAAAATATGACAAAAAAAGCCCTTGCTTGGTGAATTTAATAGCCCCAGACTTTTTTCCCTTAACTTTTCTTGTTTTTTTTTTTTT